GATAGCCGGACACACACACACACACCCACTGCACGGCTCCCCCTGGCACACACACATACTGCACGGCTCTCCCTGACACACACACACACGGCTCCCCCTGACACACACACGGCTCTACCTGACACACACACTGCACGGCTCCCCCTGACACACACACGGCTCCCCCTGACACACACACGGCTCCCCCTGACACACACCCACTGCACGGCTCCCCCTGGCACACACACACACGGCTCCCCCTGACACACACACGGCTCCCCCTGACACACACACACTGCACGGCTCCCCCTGACACACACACACTGCACGGCTCCCCCTGACACACACACACACACGGCTCCCCCTGACACACACACACGGCTCCCCCTGACACACACCCACTGCACGGCTCCCCCTGACACACACACACACACACGGCTCCCCCTGACACACACACACTGCACGACTCCCCCTGACACACACACACACACGGCTCTCCCTGACACACACACTGCACGGCTCCCCCTGACACACACACACACGGCTCCCCCTGACACACACACACTGCACGACTCCCCCTGACACACACACACACACGGCTCCCCCTGACACACACACACTGCACGGCTCCCCCTGACACACACACACACACACGGCTCCCCCTGACACACACACGGCTCCCCCTGACACACACACACACGGCTCTCCCTGACACACACACACTGCACGGCTCCCCCTGACACACACACGGCTCCCCCTGACACACACACACTGCACGGCTCCCCCCTGACACACACACGGGGTGGGGGGCAGTGATGGACACTATGACGCTGATCGTGCAGGATTGCCAACACACATCATCCTCCACCCCATAGCCATCATCAAATCATATTGCACTATCGACATTCTTCATCGCTATCGTCGCCGTGACAACATCCTCACCGTCGCAGCTCGCTCGCAGCTCGGCAGTAGATGGTTTTTGGTCTGCTTGTTTCCCTCCGGCCAATCCCCCCAACCCCCAAACCACATCTCTCTGCTGCGGTGGCTTTTGAGAATCGCTGCTCAAGAGCCCCCTCCGTAGGCAACCTCGACTCACAGCAAAGTCTGGGCGAGAACGGGAGGTGGGAGCGGGCGGGCGGGTGGAGTGCGGGGGAGACAAAGGCGGCCGGGCGTGGTGTTGCCCACCCACCCCTTCGTGTACCATGCCGGCCTTCATGGGTGATCGCTAACAGCACTTGCCCCTGCGGTCTGTTGAGGCTATACGGGGGACCTTTGCCTTTGTCTGTGGCAACGCAGAGAGCGTCTGTGGAGCGACATCAATTGTCGCTCACTGCGTGCGCTCCGACTCAACGCCAATGCCCCCCCCCCTCCTCCTCCCCCCCCCCCCCACCGGCACTCCCACGCACTGACCTAGGTGGTAAAGTATGGCCAAGTAACCAACGCGGGCACGGCGTGGGGAGGCCGTCACCCACACCTCCGATTAGCGCGCGCCTCCGATTGACGTCGGCTGGCTACGTACGGCGTGAAAGAAGTTCGAACGTGCATACACGCGCACATCGAGCGGTGGAGTGACGAAGACTTGTGCACGTAGAGTTTAGCGCATTTCACCCCCGCCCCACCCCTCACCCCCGCGCGCATCGATTGTTATAGCGTTTAACGTGTATTTATTATTTATTTACATCTGCGACCGACACTCACGTACGATGTATTGATTTCCTCCGAGGAGGTCCTCGAAACAGCGTACTCGCCCTCGCCTGGCTTTAAATCAAGGCAATCCAAGAGGTGAGCCGCTGGGTCCCCGGGTATCGGAGGCACTCAGCCGGCACCGCCGGGGACGCTTGCGATTCGGATCCTGGTGTCAGCCGAGCGTGATTAAAGCCGGTCCTGCAGTGCACAGGGAGTTGACGGTCTCAACAACCCCCCACCCCCCACCCCCCCTCGGGAATTGACTGTCAGCCAGCAAGCCAGCAAAACTTTTTGTTTCCTAATATAATATGATTAATCTGGATTTGAAATTTTCGTGACTGCAGGAACCCATAGTCTTAATTAATCATTATTTTTAGTTTCATTTCATGTTTCTACCTACGTGACTTTACCGAAAGAACCAAAGAGTATAATATGATTAATATGTGTGTGTGTGTTTTAAGTGATGTTGATGCTGCTGCTGCTGCTTCTGTGTTGACAGTGGTGTGCGAGCGCAAATGAAAAGCTACAAAAAAACTGAACACGTGCGTCAATCTTAAATTTGAAGCTTTCGTGACTGCAGGAATCCATACTCTTTGGTTCTTTCGGTAAAGTCACGTAGGTAGAAAGATAATAATAAATCACGACGTTTAAATAGCCACACAAGCAACCGTCTTCAGGTGCTTGTGTGGAACGTCGTGATCTATTATTATTATTTTTGTACCTACGTTCGTCGATACCACTTTGGCCTTAAAAGGAAAAAAACCCTAAATATATGATAGGCAACGTCTTGGGAAATGACTCTTCCTCATAGCACGGAGAGAATTTAGAGACGTCATGAGTCTAACGGGCATTTCTCTGTCGGAGGATGTTGTGTGTAAGTGCGGCGTTGAGTCTGTGAATATTGCAATGTCACGTGAAGGAATCCCGAGGTCGATTCTCGCTCACGGCCAACACCAGTGATGATTATCAGAATCAGTCCTGGGCCTCCTCTAGGTCGACGCAGCCTCAAATGAGTACCCAGTGCGGTGTGTAGTAAACATTGCCACTGGGGAGACAAAGGCGGTCGGGCGTAGTGCTGGCCACCCATCCTATCGTGTGTCGCCCCGAGCTTCGCAGGTGCTCGCTAACAGCACTTGCCCCAACAGTTTGTTCAAGTTCTAGTTGGGGAATCTTTGTCTTTGTGTGTGTGTGGCCTCCGAAGATTGTCGAGTGTCGTCCAATTGTCAATGTGTGCATCCACTTTGACGATCCACTGCTGGATGGAGGCACCTTCCACCGTCGTTGGTTATTGACGCGGTGGACCAGGGATCGGTTCAAAAATCACCACTGATGTGAGCCGTGGTCGGGAATCGAACGGGGGTGGCTGGGTTCATAGCGCAGTGCCGCGAACCGCAGCGCTAACTCTACCACCCGCTGAACTCTATTCAAAATTGTGCTGAAATGAATCCATTCGAGATTCATCATTGAGCAGCGCATCACTCCGCATTACACAGCAGCCTGCGGAAGCAGATATAACAGAACTACCTATCGGAATCCCTCCACGTGACGTTCGACATTCGCACACGCAACGGCGAACTTTACACCACACGCACAAAGAAATGGCAATGCAACTAATAACGTCTCAAACTGTGTGGGGGGGAGTGGGGGGGCGGAGTTGGGGGGGAGTGGGGGGGAGGAGGCCGTGATGGCGTGGAGGAGGCCGCGTTGGTGGGGAGGAGGCCGTGATGCACTCACTCATCTTACACTGACTCACTCACACATCATACACTGACTCACTCACACATCTTACACTGACTCACTCACACATCATACACTGACTCACTCACACATCTTACACTGACTCACTCACACATCATACACTGACTCACTCACACATCATACACTGACTCACTCACACATCATACACTGACTCACTCACACATCTTACACTGACTCACACATCATACACTGACTCACTCACACATCTTACACTGACTCACTCACACATCATACACTGACTCACTCACTCATCTTACACTGACTCACTCACACATCATACACTGACTCACTCACACATCTTACACTGACTCACTCACACATCATACACTGACTCACTCACTCATCTTACACTGACTCACTTACACATCATACACTGACTCACTCACACATCTTACACTGACTCACTCACACATCTTACACTGACTCACTCACTCACACATCATACACTGACTCACTCACACATCATACACTGACTCACTCACACATCATACACTGACTGACTCACACATCATACACTGACTCACTCACACATCATACACTGACTCACTCACACATCATACGCTGACTCACTCACACATCATACACTCACGCAACCACTGACCCATTCACTCATCATACAATGATTCACTCATCATACACTCACTCATAATACGCTTACTCACTCACACATCATACACTCACTCACACTACATCATACACTGACTCACTTATCATACGCTGACTCACACATCATACACTCACTACCATTGACTCACTCACACATCATACACGGGGAGTGTCATGCTGACACACATGGCTGCAAGTTTGTTCGTACATGTTATGTATATCGCTTATTGTTAAATTTGAATCAAAGTTCCTATGAATACTGTTGTTACATTGCATTTTATAGCTTTATTTTGGTGATTTCTAAAACATATGGTTAAGCCATGTTTCTTTGCGGAAGTGGGGAGTTGGCCTGATAACTTGAATCTAAATTGTCTTATGGTTGCTATTGTTTGTCTGCATCACACTGGGATTTTTGTACACAGCGTTGTAATACGGTGTTATTTTCTGGAAGATTTTCTGGTTTATCCCAGGATATTTCTGTTGCGCGTCGTCGCTTTAAGATGTTCTCTGTTCATATTTTTGTTTGTTGCGGTTGCACCCGACTCAAGAGCCGCATGGCTCACAGGGTTATATACCTAATAAATGAAACTTGAAACTTGAGTGGGGAGGGAGTGGGGGTCGGAGTGGGGAGGGAGTGGGGGGATTTGGGGGTGGAGTGGGAGTGGGGGGGGGGGAGTGGGGGGTAGTGAGGGGGAGTGGGGTGGGAGTTGGGGGGGGAGTGCGGGGGTGGGAGTGGGGGGGTGAGAGGGGTGAGAGTAGGGGGGGGGAGTGGGGGTGAATGGGGGGGGAGTGGGGGGTAGTGAGGGGGAGTGGGGTGGGAGTTGGGGGGGAGTGCGGGGGTGGGAGTGGGGGGGGTGAGTGGTGAGAGGGGTGAGAGTGGGGGTGAGTGGGGGAGCAGTGTGGAGGTGGGAGTGGGGGGGGGAGTGTGGGGGTGGGGGGTTGGAGACCACGCGCACGCAGACACCGCTCACCTCGCTGCAAGATTTTGCCGAAGATGTCGGGACCGCTGCCCGTGGTGGGGCAGTCCCAGCGCCGGTGGCGGAACTGCCACTTGCACTCGCGGACGGCCGTGTGCACGGAGGCGAGCGCGCTGTGCAGCACGCCCGGGTTGTGCCGCACCAGACGCCGCTGCCGCTTGCCCAGCGGGGCGAGCGCCAAGTCCGTGGGTTCCGCAGCGGCCGCAGGGCCTCCGTGGGCCCGCAGCAGGTTGGATGGGGTCCCCGACTGGGCGATGCCCCTTTGGGTGGGAGACGCAGCGCGGCCAGAGATGATCAGACGCGCAGAGATTTGAGGGGGTAACATGCAGAAGCTCACGCAGACTTGCACACCCAAAGACAGATACGCATGTCCCCCGTGTGTGGCCTTTAACAGACTGTTGGGGCAAGTGCTGTTAGCGAGTAGCACCTATGAAGGCCGGCACGGCACACGAGGGGGTGGGTGGCCAGAACCACGCTCGGTCGCCTTTGTCTCCCTAGTGGCGACATTTCACCGCACCAGGTACTCATTTAGAACTGAATTGACCTCAGGGAGGCCCAGGACCGGTTCAAATATTCGCCACTGTGATCAATCGTGAGCGAGAATCGAACTCGGGTCGCCTGGTTTCTAGCACAGTGCGGTTACTGCTGCGCCACGGCTCCCCCAAAATATAGCCGCAGACAGACACGTGCGCACACAAACATAGGAGTGCACTCATACATACACACATGGACACCAGCGCATACCTACACCATACATCTGAGTTGGATAGCGGACACAAGGATGCGTCGGGCAGACCGTGGCCCGAATGTCAATTTTCGTGGAATGTTTCTTTATTTTTTTGGGCGAAACTGTGGCGATGCCTCTCCATCGCCAACCACCAATTGAGACCAGGTGGGCGGTGTCGAGATGTAACTACCTCTGCCAGAAATGTATGTTCGTGTTGGGGGGTTTGTGTTTGTTTGTTTGTACTCTCGCAAAGATGAATACGCGAGGCGCTTCTATAAATGACGCGGTTGATGAATGATTTCCCAAAGACTAATGTCTGTTGTTTTTTTTTTGTTTCAAGCCAGTTAATCCAACCGGAACACATCTTTTACGAAATCAGCCCTGGTAAGTGCGATGACGCATGGTGATTCCTCGATGCACACGCAAGGTTCTTTGTCAATCCACTGCTGGATGAGGACCTCTCAACTCCATGCGGGTCTGTGGGAAGGTGGGGGGGGGGGGGGGAGAGGAGCTCTTTGACCATATTTCTCTGCACTGTTCACGGTGGCTTTGGGAACGCAGGGGAAAATAGGCATGGGAAGAAGTGAAAAGACAGAATAAGTTGTGAGTCCACTGCGCTGCCCTCTGCTGCACAGCACGTAGCCCTGCAGCCTGTAGCAACCTATCTCTTGCGTGGTGATCGTCCATCCAAGCGAGAAGATCTCGAGCTCTGACGAGGACGGGGGCGGTGCTGGCGATTCGCTCACAGCGGTTGTCGCACGAGAGTGTGTGGGCTGTGTAGACTACGCACTCGGCCCGCGTAAATTAGATTCCCGTACACGGCTGACATCAGTGGCGCGTGGTATCTGAGCTGGACCCCGCTCTCGTCACCTCAACTCCCGCCGCCAAACCGGCGGTGATGAGCCGTGGCGAAGTGCTGGTCAAGCAACTCCCACGACAAACACGGGCCCGTGGCGTGGGATAGACCTTCGCTCGAATAACGACCTCAACGACGACAACACGAAAAAATTATAAACAAAAAAGTAAAATCCAAAGCACGATTCCATAACACCCTGGGAGAGCGTGAGCGCGTGAACTCCGTGCGCGTGCGTCGGCTTGAGCACGCGGGCGGGGCTGAACACGATTGGGGGCTGCTGCAGGCGAGTGATGCGGGCAGGCGCTGGAGGCAGGGGAGAACGATGGAGACGGATGGAAGGCAGCACTTGGGGGGGGGGGGGGGGTGGTGGCACGTGCCCACCCAATGATCCGATCGAAATCCCTAATTTCGATCGGATCATTGGGTTTTTTTTAGTAATAAATCGGCATTTTGCGACCCCCACTGCCACTGTGGAGCATATTATTATTACGTGCCAGGGACTTAATGAGATGATAGGACAATAGTCTGAGTCCATATATGGCAATAAGTAACGGCAAAGCAGTTCTAAGTGACTCAGAATTGTGCGCAGTTGCATATACAGACCACGACTTCCCTGAAGGCATTCACCTTCAGCGAGCTGCGATGCCGATCACACAACGCGGTTCGAATTCGACCCTCGATCGATGGCCGCGCCACCGCCGCACACGCGTCGATTAAAAATCAAGGGACAAGTCCTTACGTACTAACAACTCCTTACTTACTAACAACTCTATCATTTTTCATTGCTGGAGGGGTTGCCCCACCCCCCGACCTGAAAATTCTAGCTCCGCCATTGGAAGGTGGGAGTGAGAGGAGTCGGGATTTCGAGAGGAGGACGCGCAGCCTCGAAAAGAACGACGAGAGGGAGATGGAGGGGCGCGTCGAGTCGCTGAGTCGGCAAACAAACAAAAAAAACCGGGCGAGTTCGCGCCTCCAAGGAGCTCTGGCAGGAAGGGGACTCTCCACGTTTCTGGCCAGAGGAGACGCCCTTCTCGGGTTGGATGCTGGGGAATTAACTTGCAGGGCCATTGGACAGACGCAGAACGTCATTCCGAGGGGAGGTTGTGAGCTGCACCTGAGACGCAGAGGGCTGCCAAGGCTCGATTCGCGATTCACCATACTTAGCCATCACCCTTAGCCCCTAACCATAACCCCTAAATCTAACCCCTAACCCGAGCACTAACCCTATCCCCTAACTCTTAACCATAACCCCTAATCCATGAACCCTATCCTCTAACCCTAACCATAACCAACAACCCTAACCCCAACACGTGCGGGACATGTAATTATTTGGCTGCTATACATTGCCACGTGATAAGCCACTTTTTTGAGCCATCATTTGTGGCCAGGTCGCATCTGAAAAAGAAAAAAAACAGCTACATAGCTCAGTGGGTTTCACCTGGTAAAATAGTTAATCTTAATTCTACCTATAATCCTATAACTGGAACTCTATCCATAGCTTACCTACGAATCTAGACTATAATCCTAAACTTAACCCCAACTCAAACCCTAACCGTGGCCACCATCGCGTAGTGAGTCGTCACCCCGACTCGCACGCTTGGGTAAAAGCTCTCGAAGCCACGACTAATGCGTTTGCTCATCATCATCATCATCATCACTGTCATCGATGGCGACCAATGCCTTCAATCGATCGTCATTAATCGTCGAGTCGCTCACCAACATCGCTCCCCTATTCGGTGAATAGAGGTGCGTTTGTAGATGTTTGGATGTATGGAGATGTCCGTCATCACTGTCGTCACCGTAACCATCACCATCGTCGTAAGCATCATCATTTTCACGATCATCCACATCACCATCGTCATCGTAATCATCCACATCATTCGTCTTCACCATCGTCAGCGTAATCATCAACATCATCGTCATCATAATCGTCATAGCAATCGTCAATATTTGTCGTCATCATCATTGATATATTTGCGATATGCGTCACGCGTGCTGCAGCTTGTCCCTGAGCGAGGAGCCACCCGTTAGATGTTCCTCCGGAATCCTTTGCTGGCTGAGACGGCTGCTCGTGGCTGACTGTCGCTCGGACTATCAACGCTCAGACGGCGTTGATGGTGTTCTTGAAAAGCACCGAAAATCGCAATGATTCGACGACCTGTGAGGGTAGGACCGCTGGCGCAGTGGTTCAGCGCACCGCGCTACGAACCTGCCGATCGAGTTCAATTCCCGGTCACGGCGCAGTATCGGTGGCGAGCGATATCTGAACCGATCGTGACCCCCCCCCCCCCCACCTCACCGAACCCGCAAGACCAGCGTGGTGAAGTATGGTCACAGAACCCCAAAGGCCATCACGACAAAGGGGAGACCTTCATCCAGCAGTGGATTGACAAAGGGCTATAAATTGTTGTGGCGTATATAGTCTATGAACCTTGTAAAAGCCCCTGTCACTCGCACGTGACTGCAAGCACGAACGTGACAAACACTCGTTAGTTTGGGGTCAGACAAACATGGCAACGATACAGCAAACCCTCCTCTAGGGAGAGTCTTGAGACTCCGTGTGGACGTTCTTGAATAAAATATACGGGGCATTGATATATTTCGTGGAACCGTTGGATAGCAAACGCATACGCGCGCGTGTCTGTGACACTGCTTTGGCGGTGGTGCACAAACACACACACAAGCACAATATCTAAAACTACCCAATTGTCGATTCAGACTGCCCTGAAAGGGGACGCGTACGGAATGAGCGACGTTTCGGGCAATGCTCCTTCTTCGTAGCACATAGCTCAGAAGGAGGGCTATAGCTATGAAGAGGCCTCATTGCCAGAAACGTCGCCCTATCAACGAGATATGCTACGTCCTTTTTAGGGGCGGTTGTGTTTTTTTTTGGACGATTGTGGTCGAGTGAATATGTGTGGGGTGGTGCGTGGCAGCATGGGGAATGTTCGGTGCTCGGCCCTGCTGTGCTGGATTTCTGTCTCCGGCGAGCCTGCTGCAAGTCCTTGCTTGTGTGATCCGATGCGTGCGCACGTGCATCAGCGAGTAACGGCGTGCGTGCGGGATAGGTTGTGTGTGTGTGTGGACGTGTGTGTGTGTATGTCAGCGGTAGTCTAGCGGTTAGCGCGCTGCGCTATGCACCCGGTGACCCGGGTTCGATTCCCGCTCCCGGCAAACACCGGTGACGATTATCTGAACCGGTCCCTGGGCCTCCCCTAGGTCATCTCAGCATCAAATGAGTACCAAGTGCGGTGTGTAAAAACATTGCCACTGGGGAGACAAAGGTGGTCGGGTGTGGTGCTGGCCACCCCCCCCCCTCCCCCCCTCGTGTGCCGTTCCGGCATTTATAGGTGCTCGCTAACAGCACTTGCCCGAACGGTCTGTTAAGGCTATACGGGGGATCTCTGCCTTTGTTTTGTGTGACAAGTGCGTTCGTGTGTGTGTGTGTGTGAACGCACGTTTGTGCACGCATTAATGTATGTGCGTAACATATTCGTCAAAAACCCCTGTGAAGAAGGGTCATTGCTCGAAACGTCGCCTGTTATATAGGCCACGGCGTTATTATTGATGATTGTCTTATTGTTGGCTGTGCTTGTGCACCACCACCAACGCAGCAGCAGCAGCAGTCGCGTCACCAAATACAAAAATGTGTTAAATTAGGCGTGTAAAATAGTGTTCCAAAAACGGCAAACCGTGAAAAACCGGTAACCGTTGTGATAATCGATTACCGCCTCCGAAAGTCACGAACCGGTAACCGTTTTCCAGTGGAGTTTTAGCGGCAAGAGGTGGTCGTAATACCCACACTTTACCCCACCACACGCGACATGCTGATATGTGGTCTAATCTTGATTTGAGGCTTTCGTGACTGTAGAAATTCATACTCTTTGGTTCTGTCGGTAAAGTCACATAGTTGGAAAATAAAAAATAAAATAATAGATCACGACGTTTCGATCGCAACAACAAACGATTTGTCATCAGGTGGTCTACCCATTTTATACTGCGGGGTGAACGAAGGGTGGGTAGGGGGGGAGGGATTTCATATGGTTACCGGTTATGCAAAATTCGATTTAACCACCCAAGTGTGTATGTATGGTAACGAATGCGTGCCCGTGTGTTAGTACGCGCATGAGTATGAGTCTGCAGGTCCATGAGTCACATTACCCCTCGTGCGCCGTGCCGGCCTTAATAGGCGTTCGCTAACAGCACTTGCCCCAACAGTCTGTAGAGATTACACATGGGGCTTTGTATGTGCAGCTAAGTATAATGCACGTGTCCTGTATGAACGCACGTGTGCATTCAAGTGAGTGAATGCATGCACGTGTAACTTAGCCATAGAAACATTACACGTATGTTTGGGTACGTGCGTATGCATGTATGTACGTGTGTAAGTGTATACGAGTGCATGTGTGTGCATAGGTACTCGCTGACAGCACTTGCTCCAACAGTCTCCTAAGGCTATAGGGGAGATCTGTGCGTGTGCATATGAATATGTGTCAACGCGCGTGTATATGTCAGTACACGTGTGTGTGTAAGTGAATGCATGTAAGTGCATGTGTTTGTAAGTATATCGTTACAAGTAAGTGCATGGATATGTATAAGCGTATGCGTGCAATAATATATCGGGAAATTTATGTATGTTAGTGCATGAATGTATGCACGTGTGTGTGTGTATGTCAGTGAATGTATGTGTGTGTGTCAGTGCACGTGTGTGTCTGTTGAAGCGTATACGGGTGGTCTTTGTGTGTGTGTGTGTGTACGTGAACGCGCGTGTACCCACCACCACGGCCGGCGCTGCCGGATAGACGAGGCCCTCGCGGCCCCGAGACCCCCGGAGAAGGCGAGGAGCGGCAGCAGGACGAGCACGAGGGGCAGGGGGGACAGCAGGGGTAGGCTGCGCATGGCGTGGCCGTGCCCCCCTGCTCGGGCAGGAGGAGGGGTGGTGGTGGTGGTGGTGCGCCAAGGAGTGACGGGAGACGCAGCCGAGAACACCACCACCACCTCCCACTTGCAACCCACACCCCCCCCCCTACTCAGCGAAAGGGAGACGATTCCGCTCCGTGCGTCCGCGGATGTCCCAGGGCGCGAGGTGTCCGAGGGGTCAATGCGGCCGGGGTGCCGTCGTCGTTGGGATGAGTCGCGGCCCCGATGGGTCGTCTCGGGCGAGAGGCCGCGCGGATGGAGCGGGGCGCGCGTGTGACCTGTCGCGCGCGGAGCGCTGACCTTTTTCAAGACTCGGCGGGGGCAATCGAGCGCGGCGAATCTTCTCGCGCGGGAGAACGCGGAGACAGGAGCCGCTATTCCGCGCGCAGCAGTGTGCTCCCTTTTGCTCTTTTGCTCACTTTACAGGACGCGCGGGGGGGGGGGGGGGGGTGGGAGGGGATGGAGGAGATGGTGGGGGAGGGAGTGGTAGGGGGGGGGGGAGTGATGGACAGGGTGGGGACTAACGGGAGTGCGAGGGTGTCTGCGTGGTCCTAGGGGGGTGATGGTGTGGTGGTGGTGGTGGTGATGATGGAGGGGTGGTTGGTTGGTGGGGGGAGCGGTGGGAGGTGTTGTGCTGGCTGGCTGGCTGGCAGGCAGCAGGCAGCAGCGGCAGGAGGAGGGGAACTATGTGAGATGTGCCCGGAGGGAGGGGAGCCGTGCTCGGGCAAGACCAGACCTCGAGCTCGGGGAGCGCCCCTGGGTGCGACGCGACTTTCGCGTGAAGTCGCGAAGCGAGAAGCGACAAGCGCTGCGCTCCCGCGCTCCGCCGTTGTCACACGCACGCGTACACACAAGGCCAAAGTTCCCCCGTATAGCCTTCACGGAATGTCGGGGCAAGCTCTGTTAGCGAGTAGTACCTGTGACAGCTGGAGCGGCACGCGACGGAGTGGGTGGTCAGCGCCACGCCCGGCCGCCTTTGTCTCCCTCGTGGCGATGTTTACACACCGCACCAGGTACTCAATTTTGAGGCTGAGTCGACCTAGGGGAGGTCCCAGGACCTGTTTCAGATAATCGATTTAGGGGGTCGCGGTTAGCGGAGTGCGCTAGCCGCTACACTAACGTACAGACACACACGCACAATTACGGTTACACACTCACAGATACGCGCCCGAGGAACGTAGGCACATCTGTAGAGCAAAAAAAAGATCACATCGACGCGTCATAGGCAAACGCAAAGGTGCAAGATCCGCAATATAGCCTGCACGGATTGCTGGGGCAAGTGCCGTAAGCGAGCACGGGTGGTGGTGCGACCAGAACCGCCTTTGTCTCCCCAGTTCAGATGCTTAAACGCCGCAACAGAGTGCTCATTTGAGGCCGAGTCGACCAAGGGCAGATCCAGGACAGGATTTTTGTCACTGATGTTAAACCATGGGGTGGAATCCAACTTGGGTTGCCGGATCCGTAGCGCTGTGCGATTTGCCACTTCACGATCGCTCCCCAGTGACGCGTACACACGTGGTCACACTCGCACACACCGACAATACAGAGATCCCCCGTGTAGCCTGTAACAGACTGTTGGGGCAAGTGCTGTTAGCGAGCACCTACGAAGGCCGGCACGGCACACGATGGGGTGGGTGATCAACGCAACGCCCAACCGCCTTTTTCTCCCCAGTGGCGATGTTTTTACACACCTCACCCGGTACTCTATTTAGGCTGAGTCGACCTAGGGGAGGCCCCGGACCTCGTTCAGATAATCGTCACTGGTATTGACCGGGGAATCAAACTCGGGTTGCCGGGTTCGTAACTCAGCGCGCTAACCGCTGTCGGACCAATCCCCCCACAGTCACGCCGACTCACACAAAGGCAAAGATCCCCTGTATAGCCTGAACAGACTGTTGGGGCAGGTGCCGTTAGCGAGCACCTATTAAGGCTGGCAGGGCACACGCGGGGTGGGTGGCCAGAATCACGCCCCGGTCGACATTAACACACACACACCGATATAACACACACACAGATATATAACACACACACCGATATAACAAACACACACACATATATAACACACACACCGATATAACACACACCAATATAACACACACACACCGATATAACACACACACACATATATATATATAACACACACACCGATATAACACACACACCAATAAAACACACACACACCGATATAACACACACAGATATATAACACACACACCAATATAACACACACACACCGACATAGCACACACACCAATATAACACACACACCAATATAACACACACACACCGATATGACACACACACACATCGATATAACACACATACCGATATAACACACCAATATAACACACACACCGATATAACACACACACACCGATATAACACACACACCAATATAACACACACACCGATATAACACACACACATCGATATAACACACACACCGATATAACACGCACCAATATAACACACACACCGATATATAACACACACACACCGATATATAACACACACGCACACCAATAAAACACACACACCGATATAACACACACACCGATATAACACACACACCAATATAACACACAGCAATATAACACACAACAGATATATAACACGCACACGCACCAATATAACACACACACCTATATAACACACACACCGATATAACACACACACCAATACAACACACACACCCATATAACACACACACACATCGATATAACACACACACACACACCGATATAACACACACATACACCGATATAACACACACACACCAGTATAACACACACAAACCGATATAACACACACATAAACCGATATATAACACACAGACCGATATAACACACACAGATATAACACACACATACCGATATAACACACACACCGATATAACACACACACACACCAATATAACACACACAGCGATATATATCACACACACACAGATATAAAACAGACACACAGATATATAACACACACAGCAATATAACACACACACCAATATAACACACACAATAATATAACACACACACAGATATAACACACACAGATATATAACATACACACCAATATAACACACACACACCGATATAACACACACACCGATATAACACACACACACACCGATATAACACACACACAGATATAACACACACACCGATATAACACACACCGATATAACACACACACAGATATAACACACACACCGATATAACACACACCGATATAACACACACACCGATATAACACACACCGATATAGCACACACACACCAATATAACACACACACCGATATAACACACACACACAAATTACACACACATCGATATAACACACACACACACAGATATAACACACACAGATATAACACACACACCGATATAACACACACCGATATAACACACACACCGATATAACACACACACACCGATATAACACACACAGATATAACACACACACCGATATAACACACACCGATATAACACACACTGATATAACACACACACAGATATAACACACACACCAATATAACACACACACCTATATAACACACACACCGATATATAACACACACACAGATATAACACACACACCGATATATAACACACACACCGATATAACATACACACACAGATATAACACACACACAGATAAAACACACATCGATATAACACACACACCGATATAAGACACAGACACCAATAAAACACACAGACACGGATATAACACACACACAGATATAACACACACACAGCTATAACACATACACCGATATAACACACACCGATATAACACACACACCGATATAACACACACACACACATATATAACACACACACCGATATAACACACACACACATATAACACACACACACCGATATAACACACACGCACAGATATAACACACACATACACAGATATAACACACACACCGATATAGATCAGAACGCACACACATATATAACACACACACACCGATATATAACACACACACAGATATAACACACACACAGATATAACACACACACAGATATAACACACACACACACACACTGATATAACACACACACCGATATACATCAGAACGCACACACCGATATAACACACACACCGATATAACACACACTGATATAACACACACAGATATAACACACACACCGATATAGATCAGAACGCACACACACACCGATATAACACACACCGATATAACACACACAGATATAACACACACAGATATAACACACACACCGATATAGATCAGAATGCACACACACACCGATATAACACACACCGATATAACACACACCGATATAACACACACACAGATATAACACACACACCGATATAGATCAGAACGCACACACACACCGATATAACAAACGCTGATATAACACACACTGATATAACACACACCGATATAACACACATCGATATAACACACACACCGATATAACACACAACGATATAACACACACACCGATATAGATCAGAATGCACACCGATATAACACACACACCGATATAGATCAGAACGCTCACACAGGTGCGACACGAGCGGCTGTCAAGTGACCGAACCTGCGAGTCAATGTGCGCGCGAGTTCCACGCCACACCACGCAACACCACGTGGTGGTGTAGTAGGGGGGGGGGGCTGTGGTGGTGTAGTAGGGGGGGGGGGCTGTGGTGGTGTAGTAGGGGGGGGGCTGTGGTGGTGTAGTAGGGGGGGGGCTGGGGTGGTGTAGTTGGGGGGGGGCTGTGGTGGTGTAGTAGAGGGGGGGCTGTGGTGGTGTAGTAGAGGGGGGGCTGTAGTGGTGTAGTAGAGGGGGGGGCTGTGGTGGTGTAGTAGAGGGGGGGCTGTGGTGGTGTAGTAGGGGGGGCTGTGGTGGTGTAGTAGAGGGGGGGGCTGTAGTGGTGTAGTAGAGGGGGGGGCTGTAGTGGTGTAGTAGAGGGGGGGCTGTGGTGGTGTAGTAGAAGGGGGGCTGTGGTGGTGTAGTAGAGGGGGGGGCTGTGGTGGTGTAGTAGGGGGGGGCTGTGGTGGTGTAGTAGAGGGGGGGCTGTGGTGGTGTAGTAGGGGGGGGCTGTGGTGTAGTATAGGGGGGGGGGCTGTGGTGGTGTAGTAGGGGGGCTGTGGTGGTGTAGTAGAGGGGGGGGCTGTGGTGGTGTAGTAGAGGGGGGGGGGCTGTGGTGGTGTAGTAGGGGGGGGGGCTGTGGTGGTGTAGTAGAGGGGGGGGCGGTGGTGGTGTAGTAGAGGGGGGGGGTTGTGGTGGTGTAGTAGAGGGGGGGGCTGTGGTGGTGTAGTAGAGGGGGGGGGGTTGTGGTGGTGTAGTAGAGGGGGGGGGGGCTGTGGTGGTGTAGTAGAGGGGGGGGCTGTGGTGGTGTAGTAGAGGGGGGGGGCTGT